TTTCAAACATCCTGCAGTAAATCCAGAGCAGATCCAGCTGGAAAGCAAGAGTGGAAATAAAACTTGAAAATTCATACCACGCTTTGAAGTCTGCTTCTTTCACAACCGTGAGTCCCTGATTTGCCCCAACCATTCTGAGCTGCTCTTGCTTGTTGAATTTATTTTAAAAGAGACACAAGCCATGCACTTGCATATAATCTTTCAAATGGACTCCAGCTTTTTGCAGGGATGGTTTGTTAAGGAGTATGAATCCCAAAATACTTTCTCTTGCACATGAAATCAGCCATCAATTCAAATGGAATAGAAAGCCTTCCACTACTAAAACTAGAAAGCACTCTTGAGTCTAGTAAGTACTGCTTTTTCTCTTGTGTTCTTTCCTTTACCCATCCATGCACTTTTAATTTTTACTTTTTGAGTGCTATTATCTATCAAGAACTATTAATGCAGATAAAAGGATACTAACATGCCAGATGCTGGAAATGCCAGGATGGCAGCCTAATAATGTCTTCCTTTCCATGAAGCCATCTGGGGCTCCTGAAATGGGCCATGTCGCCACACTGAAGTGACTGCTATCCCATTAAATCATCAGAGGAGAGAAAGTCTGTGGTGTAGGTTGAGCAGAGCTTCAATCTTGCACAGGGCCCACTGTCACCATACGTCAACCTCACCTACCAACTGTGCTTGTGTGGACAGGAGCCCAGCCAGCCCTTCTGCCCAAATCCCAGGTGACTTCAGAACAGGGTATGGAGTCTTAGGCCAGCTGGACTGTTAGATCCTTTCTCTACTGATCATTACAGGGAAAAGAGATATTCCCTAGGACTGAGATCCAGTCATCCTTAGTATTTTCGATGACCACCAGGAAGAACTGGTAAGGGCGACTAAGAAACATGTCCTTGGCCTCAGAACAGTCACAGTAACCTAGTCGGTAACCAGTCACTGAACTTTGTAATAATCTAGTTGCCTGAGTTTCTGTCAACAAAACAAAAAAATAAAGAAGAAAATACTTTGATTCACAGTGCCTGGTCAAGAACAATGTAGATTCTAAAACCAGAAATCTGGATTTCTGCCCTTAGGTTCACAGGGCAGTGAATTTTGGTCAATTTGCATAAGATTCCATTCTCTCCACTGAATGAAATAATGTTTGTGAGAGGCAGGCTGAAAACTGACAAGCACCCTGCACCTATGAGAAGTTATTTCAACAACCTAGGGAAAATTCAATTTGCCCTCTGATTCCCTCACAAGGCACAAAACTATGGGGCAGGAACAATGTGCAGAAAGTCCTTGACCTCTGGGGTCCACTTTTCTCTTCTGTGGCTCTCCTACCTGGGAGCTGGATAATCCAACAGTGGAATGGAACTCCAATGAAGGGAATCATACCAGGGACCCAAGCAGTGAACATGGTCTACATCATCCAAGCAACAACCCAGCCATAAACTTAGTAAGGAGGGAAAAAAAAAAAACTAGCAACACAAAAACAAAGAACTCTCAACTTTACAAACACTGGGAGGGCAACAGCTGGTCAGCCGAGATTAAAGGAGCGTGAGAGAGCACCTCCCCATCTCCTGACTTCTCCTCCCCCATAGAGGTCCCTGCAGCCAGCCAGGGCTCACTTGCACAGCTCTGTGAAGATGACCTTGTTCCAGCTAAGATAGGGGCTCTTTTGATCTCAGCAGGGGGGATGCTCTGGGCCTGCAGCTGGCAGATATTAATAGTACAGGATCCGCTGGGGTGGAAGAGATCTCTCGTTGGGCCAGGTCACTTGTATTCCCTGTGAGCAGAAGGGACTTCATTTCCCTGAACTGGCTCCTGCTGGGTATTTCCCTTAGGTCAATTCAGATCATTTTATTGCTGGCTGCTCTTGGCCGCTTGTTCTCACCCCACAACTGTTTTCAAGGGAGCACTGTTTAAGCTGTGCCTTCTGCTCTGTAGCTGAAATCTATTACATGACAGGGTGGACCTGGAGCTCACCCCATCAGTGTGTTTCTCACTCTCACTGGTTTGCACACGCATCTTCTTGTGTCCACGTCCGTGTGGGAAAGAGGTAGAGAGAGCAAGAGACAGACGGACAAGACCAGAATGGTTTACAGAGTGAGGAGACAGCAATGTGGGGCAAGGAAGTTCTTATAGGTATGTCGAAGTATCAATGCTAAGATTCCTGAAGATCCTTTCTATCTTGCTTAATCTAGGAAAATACAAGGCCATTCTTCCACTCCATAAATCAGAATTTTAAAACCCCATCAACAAGTGAATGCTCCTGATTTTCAGACCCACAAAATGATCTCACAATGGGAGAGCTAGAAAAGACTTCAGCAATCTTATATTTCCAATCTTGAGGCCCAAAGTCATCAAAAGACCTGCCCAAGGTCCCAGGGCTAATAACACAATAGCAAAGTTGATACAATGGATCCTGGAAACAACAAAGTAATTTATACATATTAACCATAGTGGCATTAACAACCATTGCAATGTATTTGAATAGGTATAAATGCATTAAGAAAATTCTCCATTTTAGTTCACTGGTAAGGAACTTCATTATAGACTTCAGGAAAAATATTTCTATAGCCTCGTTACCTGCTCAGCTATGCAAAGGAAAGATCTATAAAAACCAACTGTTTTCAGTCTCCCTAGGATTTCAAAATTTTAAAAAGTTGTCTAAGGATGAGCTGGTAAGTCTCCCCTTGTCATGAATACAACTTTACCATTTTGTGGAAGCGGTTACACTGGAGTCCCAAAAACAATTTCCTCTGTATCTGTTCTGCTCCTCTTCTTTGCTTAAGATAAAGCGAAGTGCTATTACTTATTGGTTTTTTAATAAGGAAACAAGATATTTTTTTTTCTCCTCAAAGCTGAATAAATGTGTATGTGTGTGTGTGAAATAATTACAACAATTTTTAATGAGGTGCTTTATGTGAATCTCATGGTTACTGTTTACAAAGTATTTACTATGGTATCCATTTAGCATTTATTTACTGCCTACTATGTGCCTAGAACTTTGCTAGTCACTCAGGATATGAAAAGAATACAAGATAGCCTGTTTAAAAAATCTGCCAATCTAGTCAGGAAACCATGAAAAGTTAAATTAAGTTACCTGGACCTTTTCTTTATAAAGCAGAGCAGGTAGAAGGGCCACAGAGGAGGAAGAGGAGCGAGACTAGTGCAGTCTGGAACAAACAAGGAGGTTTTTTGGGAAGAGGTGGTCTTTAAATAAACCTTGACTGAGTCGGAGGATTCGGGAAGAAAGGAAGCGGTAGAGGTAAAAAAAGGGCAATGCTATTCTAGATAAGTTGAGCTGTCTCTGCAGCAGCATGGGGCAGGAGTGGGGAGTGGCAGGCGTGCTTGATGGGGGAGCTTCCTGCAAGGCCCTGGCAAGAACCAAGGGGAATGGGAAGGACAGGGCAGACTGTGAGGAGTGAGGAAGCACTGTCTCTAGTCGTGTTTTGGAAACTGATCCACACAAAAGAAGAGAAAAAAAAAAAAATCCTGATTTTTAGCATGTGCTGATTCCCATGGTGTAAATACTTCCACCCTGGCTGATTTCAGGCTGACAAGCCACAAATTCCTGAATATTTTAAAAGCAGCTTATTGGTCTTGGCCCATTCTCAGAAAATGGGCTGATACAGTTCCCAGACTTCTGAGTAGGAGAGTGGCACAGTAAAAGGAAGCCAGATTCAGAGAGTTTCATTTGGTAGTGGCAGAATAGAAATGGTAGAGAGGCTGGAGCTGGGAAGGCCATTTTGGAATTTATAAAAATAATCCAACTGTGAGTTTAATAAGTCAGCTGATCACAACACAAATCACAAAGAAGAGGCACCTGGCTGGCTCAGTCGGTAGAGCATGCCACTCTTGATCTCAGAGTCATGAGTTCAAGCCCCACAGTGGGCGTGGAGCCTACTTTAAAAAAAAATGTGTAATATCCATAGACATTTTTTTTAATTACAAAGAAGAGGGGGCAGAGGAAGACTATATTTGGAAAGAAGAACCAAGAAGACTGGATGAGAGGAGTGCAGGGAGGGAAGAATAGTAAATGATTTGGCTTTTCAGTCCAGGTGATGAGGGGGAGGGATGACATACCACTGAATGTGGAAAGAGGGGACACAGAGCATTTTACAATTTTTATAAATAAGTAGTTTTTCACTCTGAAAACACCACCAAGAAGCAGGGCTGTGATCCTTCCAATTTTTGAGTCCGTAAACTGCGGTCAATCCACGTTAGACCACCTGGCAGTCAGGAGCCTTTTGAGTCCTACAAATCCCATCTGCTCCCTCATGAACACTTCTCAGAAAATGGAAGTGCAGGGGGTCTGTCACAGCTATGCACATTTATCCAGCCCACAACTAGCAGAACTCAGAAATGTCACATAAGAACTTTCAATAAAGCTAGAAACCACCCACTGGCTCCGTGGCGTAATTCCCCTAGCTACGTAAATCGTAGCTAGGCTGACCTTTGCTAGCATGGGAGGGTGGAGAAAATTTTGCAGATTTACCAATGTGGAGAGTTTCTCTTAACCCTTTTGTAAAGTTGGCTGGGAATGCCACATCTCCAGCCCACGACACTGGTGCACACTTTTAGCCAGTCCCAAAGCACCCAGCACAACAAACAAAAGGCTGAATTGCTATGGGACCACCAGTAAAGCCAACCTGTGAGCATCAGTCTCAAAAAATCAAGTCACTTTGCAGTTGGCCTTATACTAAGGACCCAAAATCAATCTATGGAGGTGTGACAGGCTTCAAGGTGGAGGTGATTGGATGTCCGTGAAGGTGACTCACTCGGATGAAAAAGGAAGCTGGCCTATAGAGACGGGGCAAGAGCCTTTCCAAATACAAGGGATCAGATGCCGGGGAAGTTGGCTAAGCCTAAATCGCCAGGATCCGGCTGTGTTCACTGGCCAGGGCCTCTCAGCGCAGCCTCCCAGCACAACAGGGGGCGGAGAGGCAGAGAGGAAAGGCGGTGGGGCTATACGTCAGTGTCAAGTTTCGGCCCCTCTCGGACAGATCCCTTACCTTCAGACAGGGACAAATCATCAGCTGGAGACACCAGGTCTGCCTGAGAAGCTAGGGCTCTGCTTAGATGCGTTGTAATTTGATTCGTCAAGATAACCTGTGAACAGACAGGGAGAAGGTGGGGGAAGGGAGAAGAAAGAGACCAAATTAATTATTAGAGCTCTCAAAAGAACAGACTGTGGTTCAGGGGAGGACTGATAAGCACAGGTAGGAAAACCCCAGTTCTGACTTTCATCAGTTTTATCTGCAGGCCAGAATATCTGGCGAAACCTACAGGTCATTCAAAACACAGAAAAGGGGAAACAGGCTTTTTTTAGAGCTTAAACCACCAATCGGTTCCTTCTAAATGCTGAGTAAATTGGGACTGAGAGGTGTTGTCATATTAGCTAAATAACAGAAGGCTAACCAGAGAATTAAGATGCATATGAACACATTTGATCAAACTTCAATTTTTAGGATTATATCCACAGCCCAAGATATTGCTAGTGCTAAATAAAAGCAGTAATTTAAAACTGGGATGCCTGTGGCTTCTTCCATATTAACTCAAAGTCAGAGTTTTATTTCCAAATTTGTGAAACTGTAATAAGATTCATCCGTAAAGGAACAACACTGTTCTTTTAGATTCACTGAACGCCAACAAAAACATTCCAGTCTCACTATGCATTTAAAACACAAATTAATATAACCCACCTATACAAAATACGGTTCATATTTAAAATTATATGATCCACTTATAATTTTATGATCAAATTAAAATATGACCAACTTAAAATTCATATGATCCACTGCCACACCATGACATTCACTTCAGTCAAGAAACTATTCTTTTCCTTAAAAATCTTTGTTTATAACATTTACTATATTGTTTAGAAGGCTGAAGGAAGAATAAAATACAGATTCTCTCCTGGAACATTACATTGACTAACACCACAATCATTTCCCAAGGTTTGGGTGTTCCCATTACGTGGAAGAACTGTGAGCATCTTGGTCACTCAGAGGAAACGTCCCTTCTGAAAATGGTACTAGTCACTTAGTATCTGGAATAAGCATCGAGTTGGACTGTCTTGGTCTGTCCCAAGGGTCAGCTATGGTTTTGTTGCCACCCGAATTTGAACAGAAGTGGAAACTGTCTCTGTTCTTCATTGTCCGGCTTTTCAGCCACACCTTTGTCACTGTCTCTTGAATGAACCAGGGATACGTTATAAATCCTCTACCAATGGCAGCTTAATTGAGGGCTGAGAGTGGAGCACGATGGCAAGGTCAGGCAAAGAAATGAAGTACTCTATTAGCAAAGCCAACCTTTGCAAGGTCTCTGTGTGTGAGCTAGGCATATGAGTCTCCAGCTACTCTGAAGTGATGGTCAGATCCTGCAGCCCTCTGCTGAGTATCTGCTCATCTTCTCCTCATTCTTCTGCATTGCTACTTTTCATCTGGACTGGTAAGAATCACATGCCATGCGTCTGCAATTACAATGGCTTTACATAGTCAAATAACAGCCTACTCTCTCAAGAACAAATGCCCATTTGTAGGAGTCTGGATAAAAATTATGTTCATTTCTCTCTTTATAATATAGGGTGTGGGCTTTGGAGTTTAATTAAACTGAGTTCAAATTCTGACTCTGACACTGCACACCTTGGGAAAGTTACTTAAACTTTTGAGTTAAGTAGCTTCATTTGTTCATAGGTAAAATCATACCCATCTTATAGAACTGTTACAAGAATTAAGTGAGATAATCAATGTGAGGCATCTAACAATGTCTGGCACATAGTAAATAGTCAATAAACAGAAGCCATTGTTATTGGTGTTATTTTCTTCAGAACGATGCTATATAGATTAAGTATATATATAATATATAGTAATACCATGTGCTTCAGATAATTGAATCTAACAGAAGAACACTAAACCACAATTTCCTACATTAGGATATACTTCAGGATCTGATCATTTCTACCAATCTTAGTCCTTCTTAAGTTTTATTCAATGGCTAGGAATTTGTGCAAAAATCTCAATAAGAAAAAGATAGCAATCATTTACAGGCAGGCCAATAGGTACTGGTATTACTCTGAAAATACTATGCACTTTATTTACCAATGAACAAAATAATATATCTGTCTGTCCTAGTTTTTAAAAATGTGAAGCTTCTGAGAGATCAAAATAGGAAAGCTCTACTTTTTTAGAGAATTCTTCTAAATGATGGCTTGGTAAAAATGAAAGAACTCTAATGATATGGTGATGATAATACAAAAAAAAAATGTATTGAATACCTACCATGCAAGGCCTGTCACCATATACACAGGGAGAAACAAAGAGGTGAAGGCTCTGTATGTCTTCTCTAGAAACTTGTAAGTTAACAGATGAGCCATTTACTAAAATATTCAGATCACTTTTTCCCCTCACTTTTACTATTATTTCACTGGTCCTTCATGGAAACTTGTCTTGAGATGATGGTTTTATTATACAGAAGTAATAGAGTTATGTCCTGCAGAACCTCAAACCAAACTCCAGATGTCCCTCAGAAGGTACTCAGCACCATCTCCACTTTCAACAGGAGACGAGGTGGAGAAGACATTTCACTCTCCAAGGGCAAGAGTGGTTTTGCTAATAATCCTCTCCTTTTGTATTTTGCACCCGAAAGCCAAATCACTGAAGGACACATAGCAACCAAACTCAGGGCTTTGCTAATCACATCATCTTATTAAATTGTTGTGGTTTTCTCAACCCGTGTTCAGCAAAATGATAGAATGGAAACATTTTCAAATAGCATCGCTGACAAATAACCATGGCTTGCGCAGGAGCTCATAAATGTATTGTCCTCTGGAGACCCAAAAACTACACCCTTAAAGTAACCTATAAAATACTATTACACATTATAAACAGAGTCTTAACACTACCTGGTTTCTGGAAAGTTGTTCTGACTGACACTTCAGAAGGGCGTCCTTGCCATTTTGCTCCAATGGAAAGACTGGGGCTTCCGATGCTTGGTGCCACATTTGTGGGAGCGCAGTTTGCACAGTAGTTAGGGTAAGTGCTTGGGAGTCAGACAGATTGGAGTTAAGATCCTGGGCTCCACCACTTACTAGCCATATGACATTGGGGAAGTCTCATACCTCTCTGGTATGATAATACTGAACTCACAGGGTTTCACGAAACTGGATAATGCATATAAGATCCTTAGCATTAGTGCCTGACCAGTGGTTAATGCTAAAATGTTACCACTCATCATTGTCTTTAGTTATCCTTTGCGGACTGGTATCTTCCTCTTTAGATAGAAAACATACCTGATTCCCTTTTGTATAACATACAGCCCACTGCTGACAAAGAACAATTGTTGATATGTTCAAAAAGCAATGACAATTTAAATGAAAGGACAGCAACTATTTTTGCCACTTCTCTGAAAGTATGGCTCATTGAAAACATACCCCCCACCCCACCACCCCCATCAACTACAAATCCAAAGGCCAGAATGGGACTCTTGGACTAAGGGGAAAATAGGTTGGTTTTTTGTTTGTTTGTTTTAGTGGTCATGATTACATCTGAAGCCAGGAGGAGACGGAGTCTAGCTTAAAGTTTATTCTTCAGGAAGGAGAATACCAACCATCTACTGGGAAGAGGAGGCTTTGTAAGTCAGACAAAGTAACAATTATCTCCACTCAACTCTGTATATCAAGAGACCACTTACTCCCAGGGTTTCTCCGTACTGCCCTCTGGGCTGCAGGATGCTTCGGGTACCCTTGACTTACAAATGGTAAGTCAAGTCTTCTCATACCACATAGACCTTAAGTCTCATTTTTAGTGCTCCCCTCCCAAGGCAACACTGGGGTGAGACTTCTCCCTCCAAAGACCATGTCCCTGGGTCCAAGTTTTCTCTTGCATTATCTGGCTTTCTCTAAGTGCATCCTACTCAACCCTTCTGTGTACAGCATCTATGCTCACTTTAAGGGCACCATAAAGCTCTTTAAAAAAGAAGAAACTTCAGGGTACGTATTCATAAACAACCCAGTAAGTCCTGCTTTCACAGAGAACAGGTCTTAGAGGAAAAAAAGGTGGAAAGACAGGAACCAGTTAAAGACCAGGTGAACTAAAAAGGCAGATGGATGGGAAGGAATGTCATTTTGGTCAGAAGACAGGGTCTTGTGGATGAAAAAGCCAACTAACACACAAACAGAAATATGACTCATTTCCATTAAGTATTAAAAAAAATAGCTTAAGAGAGCAAATAACTGGAGACAAGAAGGTAGGAGCAGAATAAACTGATCAGAACCATAAGCCCTAAGGGTCAGGGGGTTGGGGAGCTAGAGTCCCCTGGGCAATTAAGCCTGCTTTTCCATGAGTCTCTGTATCCAGTGCAGACCACTTGCCTTCAGTTGACCCATCTTTCTTTGGCTATGCTGTGGCCAAACTATATCTATGCTGTACCCACGCCCCCATCCTACTCACACTTCCTGGTCCAGAATATATTCTACCTTAGGGGCCACTGTATGTCTAGTCTGATCCACCCTACAGTGAAGTATTAGAAGTATTTCTGCTGGGGCCTCCAGGAGTAGCCACTTAGTATATTCCAGCTCATGGTGAGTACTGAAAAATGGGAGACAGAAGAGAAAATGGGACAGCCCTGAAGAAATCAGGGTGGAGAACTGTCAGATCTAAAGGCACAGCCTTTGGCAGAAGAAGCTCCTTTTATTTGACTCTTGGAAGGTGACAGAGAAGAAGGACTTTATGGTAAGCCAGGGATAGAAGAGGTTGGAATGGAATATCTGGCCCTCTTTGGTCAGCAGAAGAAATATTCATGGTCAGCAAAACAATAACTCAATATTTACAAGTCAGATTTTTTTAAGGACCTAAATATATGGCACATGCCCTCATTCAACTTTCTGTGGGGGCAAGTGAGAGGCAAAATTTGTAAGCCCCACTTTCCACCAGGTGAACTAGAGTCACCTGCCTGAGGTCAGCAGCTCAGATAAGAAGAGGGACGTGGGGGCGCCTGGGTGGCTCAGTCGTTAAGCGTCTGCCTTCAGCTCAGGTTGTGATCCCAGAGTTCTGGGATCGAGCTCCGCATCGGGCTCCCTGCTCGGCGGGAAGCCTGCTTCTCCCTCTCCCCCTCCCTCTGCTTGTGTTCCCTCTCTCGCTGTGTCTCTGTCAAATGAATAAATTAAAAAATCTTTAAAAAAAAAAAAAAAGAAGAGGGACGTGCTGGCTTCCCTGCCCACTCTTCCTCCCAAGGCAGCAGTGGGCAGAGGAGAGGAAGGAGGAGCTCTTAGCCCAGACCCTAGGATGGGTGACTTTTCCAGGCCTGCATGTCCTGGTCTAGAGAATTTGATCTATAGATTTCTTTGTTCATTATTTTTAATGTCCAGAAATTAGAAGATTATCAGAGTGCTACATTGTAACAAGCCCAATTTTGTGACAAGAGTCCTTTTGGACTCTGATGCTACGAAATAACCATAGTCAAGTAGGTAAGTAGCTGCAGCTTCTACAAAAGAGCCAGGCATTTGAGGCAATCTGAGTCGAACTCTCCCTATCTTTTTGGTGGTTTTCAGTGCCCCAGATGCATGTGGCATGTCATTTCCGAGGCCCACAGGAGGCCTGGAATCTAAAGCTCTTCATGGAACTCATGTCTATGTGCAAGAGTTTAAGGGGGAGGCTGGGTTAGAGGAATCGTGCGTGAGGCCCCTCGGGGGGGTAGGGTGGCATTTCTATGCCCATTAAAACACCCACTTCCTCCTCCCACCCCCTCCCTGTCAGAAACCTGCTACAAGCTAACACAGAGAATCAGACAAGTTTCAAAATCACTTTAATTGGGCCTGTAGCGCTAGGTGCAGGGATGGTCCCAATACTCCTGGTTACTCAAGTGAACAGGCAGTGCACCAGATAACCTGGCCAGCCAGAGAAAGGGCATCATCCGAGCGATGGAGAGAGAGGCTGGGGGCTGACTCTGCTCACAAACTGCCTGCCTGCTGCCAAATCTAGCACTCTCAAAATGACAGGGCTCTGCTTTTCAAAGATTCTGAAGTCATAGTTCATTTTTTCTTCTTTTTGTATTAAAAATGGTCTATCTGCCCACGGTACACTTTTTTAAACTGTCATTTTTGGTATCTAAAATGATCCTAATTGCCAGATAGGACAGTGATCGAGCCTTTCTATCTAAACATAGGCCTTGGGTAAGTCAGAAATTCTGGGTTTTAATCCTGGCTCTGTTAAGGGTTGCTGAATGTCCTGCTTTTAAGAAGACAGAGGCTGGAATTTTCCTGTGAGAAATTGTTAAGGTTCATTGAGTCCTTTCATCACCAAGGCTTGAGAGAAAGGCCCTGGAGTGGTTTTCACCATACTCTCCTCTTGATTCCCAACCATGACGGTGTCTGCCCCAACCCATTCTGCTGTACAGGAGTTGGGAGTGGGCCCACCTGCACCCCCCTGTATCCCCAACCCCCCTGCCGCAAGAAAGTGGGGGAGGGCACGAGGGATGGAGCAGCTCTGGGTGCAGTGCAGGAACAGAGGGAGTTCCTCCAAGAGAGGCCTGGAAGCCCACACTCATAGACACATGCCTCTCCCCCGCCTCTCCCCATCCCAAACCCTTCCTGTCACTTCCAACTCTGAAAAGAGATATCCAGTATTTGTTGTGAGGAAAAGTCAGACCAAATATTTTGGAGTTTGAGCGTCACAGTTCTGGTTTTACTATTCACTGGCTTAATTTTGCCAAGGTCTGGAAAATTATAAATCATTCCATTATGAAAAAAAAATCATTTTTCTTTAGCTTCAGCCCAGAGAATATCAACTGTCAGTTCTAAAATAAAGAACTGATAAGGTTTTAGTATTCCAGCCTGCTTGAAGGTCCGTATGACAATTGTGTTCTGGGAAAATCTGAAAGACTGTGGGGGATTTTCCTTTCAAAATATTTGTGGTAAAAGGACCAAACTTCAATTTGGCCTGAAGAAAACACTGTTGTGCGAGTCAGGCATCCTGCCTCGTATTTCTGGCTCTGTCACTAGCCTGCTGTGCAATTCTGGAAAATGCTCCTAACTTCTCTGAACCTAAAAAGTGTTGAGTCAAAAAAAAAAAAAAGTGTTGAGTCCATAAAAGACATAAAGAAAATGAACATATTCTGGCTGCAAATGTAGCAGGCTGCTATGAAAAACATTATACATTTCAGTTCGCATCGGGATGAATATTACACTTAAAATTCCACCTTATCATTGATTCTCATCATCTCCACCCTCAAGAAATCCATTTTACACAGAACCAAATGGCAGTGGCTGAGGAAGAGAGAAAGAAAAAAAAAAAAAAAAGAATGACAGACACAATTGCAAATAATTTGGTATTTATGGTGAGAATACTTTCAAATCTTGATAAAAATTCATATCTCTTATTACGAACCTGGAGGAAAAAATCTCTTTTGTAGGTTTCACTGTGGAAATTCACAGGCAATGCTCAAGAAACACTGCCTCCGAGGAGAGTCCCTAAAGTAGGAGAGTCCCTAACAAAGATACTGGCTCAGTACGAGGCCACGGAGGTGGAGGGAGGAAATGAATCTCCACAGCTTTGCACAAACACACACTCAATCACACAGAGACTGGTAACACTACTGCTTCTGTCTCGTGTTAGCCATTGTCTAGACCTCTGAGTTCAGAGGAAACGAACTGAAATAAAACTGTGCCTGCCATTTGGTCAAAATAAAGACACAAGAAAACGGCAGCACGGCAGGGTGGCTTTCTCTTTGGCCTCCTTCTCCAGGGGTGCACACGCAAGGGGATGCGGTGGGGAACCTGGGGTGGCAGCTACTGCGTAGGCGTGAAAGCTCGGTCCCGCTGTCAGCCCACTGTTCCACTGCTCCAATGGGGCTGAGGTTAACACACGCTGGTTCCGGGTCTCAAATGGGGTGACAGTTGTAACGAGGCCACAAACAGCAGCCTGGCGTGCTGTTTCCACCTGCAGCCCAACCTGGGCGACATCCTGTCAGTGATCTAGGGCTTGTTGCAGGAAATAACACGCGCCGCTGGTGACCTGCGACAGTGCGTTCACAGCAGCTTCAAATGGTGCATTCCCCAGCCGTGGGCGATTTTGCCCTTAGCATGGGATCAAATAGGTCTCTGGCCAGCTGGGGCTTGGAAGCGAACAAGGCCAATTGCTGGATGACTCTGAGGTTCCCAGATGTGGAAGAAACCTTCCTACCAGCCTTCACTGCACTGTACGTTTCTTGCGGCCGAGTGGCTTTTGATGGTTTGTTTGGTTGTCTTCGCCCACTCCCTTACTGCCCACTGAGCCCCACAGAAAGGCAGGGGAGGTGAATTTCCAACAGCCCTCTGAGTTTCTGCTGACCTTTTTAGGTGTTTTTGTTACTTGATGGTGCTTTCTATTCACGTGTACGCCTGGGTTCTGGGGATTCCCCTCCTTTTGATTTGCAAGGAGGGTTAGAAAGACACAGCTTTGTGATCAGTCCATCACAGGCAGCTACTATTGACTGATTTCCCCTCCTTAGACTCATCTGAGACCAAGAAAATAGTTCTGTTGAGTCACTTGCTCCCCAGGGGTCTGAAAATATGGCTCTTGGGGGAGTCCAGCCTGATAAACACCTACTTTGCTATTCTCCAACCTCAGCCAAACTTATAGTGGCTTAGAGTGGGGAGGAGCTGAAGCCCGGAGGAGCTGAAGCCCAGAGGGGCCTCTGATCTCACCCCGCCTCTGAAAAATCTCCAGAGGAGGACAAGCCAACACTAATCTGACTTCTGTATCTCTATGCCACTCAAGCAAATTGCATTCCAAGGGCTCTCTGAACTCAGAAACTGGGTGCATGCATCCAATTCTATCTCCAAAGTCAATCTGTAGCATAAAATGAGAGCAAAGATCATTCATAACCTGTTCAAAAGGAGGTCAAAACATCTGCCTAGGAACAAATTTCCAAAACAGCAGCCTCGTGAGAGAAGCCTTTGAACAAAAACTATTTATTTGATATCCTCAAAGAAGGGATATTGTGTAAAGTGTTGTTGTTGTTTGTTTTTTAAAGAAGGGTGGGGGGAATTGGGAGCTGAAGCTATCTGTCTATATCCATATTTAAATAAATGACATCAACATCCATAAACAATAATAACCTACAATTAAACAGAGTCAACATAAGTAGAGACAGAAGAAGAATAGGCCCAGAACAAATACATTAAAATGGCTAAATATTTACATGGCAAGTGAGGATGGGCCTCCTTCCATGGCAATGCCCTTGGAGTGGAGATCTTTGATCGTGGTCACTAACAAGCCAATCCCCATCATGTGCTACAGGCCCATAAAATGATGTCCTAGCCAAGGGCAGATCACACTCAAGGCATGAGCCCCAATGCCAGATGACAAATAGGTTTTTAGTCTCTAGTATCTACTCTGGTGCCTTGGGAATGGCCACCTGGAGCACTGTCCCGAGAGGAAGTGTGAGGTTGTGTCAGGCCTCTGAGTTGCTAGAGGGGATGGTGAGGGACATGAGCTGCTAAGCGTAACTGCACAAGAGTGCTATCCTGTCATTTTTCCTCCCGCATTTTCATTTGCCTCTCATCTAACGTCATTAACAAGAATACTGACAGCACTTTATGTGTGCATGATGCTTTATACTTTTCAGAGGATGCTCACAGAGTGGTCTTAGCTCATCCTCACTGCCTCATGAGGGAAACAGCTCTTGTGTATTAGGAGGGTGGGCTCTGGAGTCAGACCTCCTGGGCTTCTGTCTCAGCTCCACCACCACTCAGCTGTAGAATTTCAGGTAGATGACTTAATCTTTCTGTGCCTCACTTTCTTCAACTGCATCATGAGAGAACGATTGTACCTGTTGTGAGGATAAATGAGTTGCCACAGAAAGCACTTAAGACGGTGCCTAATACCCAGCAGGTGCCTAACAACTATCAGCTTTTTACCTACCATTCTACTCACTCCCATTTTTTCTCCAATGGGAACACTGAAGCTTGTGACACTCTTATTATTCTTCTCTGTGTTTTTCATGGTTCGCTCACTCTGGCTCTCATCCCCATGTCAAGTGCCCCATGCCAAGGCTGAAATGTCCTTTACTCTGCTTCCAGCTTCCCTCTTTCAGGACCAGTTCAAATTGCACCTCTTCCATGAAGTCTTTCCTCACCATGCCCGCTGCAGCTGACTCGTCTCCCAGTTCCTAATGGTCCCCCTTGACAATCGGTCCCAAGTAATTTAGTACCAGGATTTTTTCTCGGTGTCATGTAGGTGATTCTTCCCTCTCTACCTACAGGGTCAATGTCCTGAGACTTCAGGGGTCTCTGCCTCCCTGTACCCATTCTAAAGGAGGGAGAAGGGAGGAGACTGTCTACTTCCTGTGGATCCAAGCCTGTACCAAGTGCTTTACATACATTAGTTCATTTCATCCTCACACCTCAGTGAGGCAAATGTTATTATCCTAGTTTTGAAGATGAGGAAACTGAGGCTCAGAGGAGTTGAACCATTTTTGGGGACGGAATAGCTAGTGCGTGGCAGAGCCAGATTCAAACCCGGTCTGTCTGCACCTCCAGTGTGTGCCGGCTCTACCACATAAAAGCTCTGTGACAAGAACCCTCACAGCCTCATGGATATTCGTGGATTAATTTCCTTAGAGCCTGGCATTTGCTGAGATCGGACGGACCAAGTGCCATGTGATTTACTGCAAAATCACACGGAAAGAAAAACTGTACAAAATGTTTAAGAATAAGACAAACTTTCAGTAGCAAGAAGAAACCAGTCGACTGTTCGAATGCTGTTTGGTGGAGCTGGAAACACTGAGTCTTCAGTGCAGGGAGGAACCATGCTCCAGCAGGTATGGCAGAAGAAAAGACACAGACTCCTGGATTCTATTTCTGTCTTGGCCGCTAACCTCTCTGCTAATATTTTCACTTCTGCTAACATGTGATGACAAGAGTTTCAGAAGAAAGGTTGCCCAGGAGAGCAGAAGGAGGACAGGCAGTGAGCTGGTTAAACGTGGTGGAGCCATAAACAGCGCGGGGATCTGGAGGAGGAGTTCGCAGCCGGGAGCAATCCCATGTGGGCCTTTATCTTTCCAGCTCTACTTCAACTCACAGGGAACAGCCCTGGATACACCGCCCTCCTTAAATATAAATGATAGGAGTTTCTATGTGTTTAAATACCCTAAAAGGACTGTCTTCAGTTCACTTAGGATCCACGTGAGCCATTCAAAAAGTTTGTTCTTGTTTTCCGACTTGAAATGATGTTTGCATTCATTTTCTGACTGGTTACACCATACGATGGTGGTGCTAAATAAGAAAAAAAAAATCAGGCGATTCTTCATATGTTTGGTAATTGATTCCTGAAGTGTATTGCTGCCGGTGCTTGTGATGGAGGCCCTGGTCTATCTATGGTGAAGACACAGCCGGGATGGAGCGGGTAGGGGCAGGGGTTTGTTCTTGGTCCTTGACATCATCCAGCTGAGAGGCCAGGCCTGGAAGGACTGGTAACCCAGGCAGGTTTGTGGTCATGCTGGCAATCATTTAAGGGGCATGAGGAGCCCTTTGAAAACAAGAAACACGGGACCTGTGGATGGTGTCTTTCCATTTCCACATATCTGAAGTCCCACTGAATTCAGAATCCTGGAGCTGTGAGCAAGTCTTGTGGAAGATTTCCTGCTCAGATCGAGGCCTGGAAAGGGATCACTGCTGAAAATGAACAGCCAGCTGCTTGGGAATGGGAGGACAAGGAAGCTCTTCTCTGTCTGGTTATTTACAAGGCAGCGTTTGGGCTCACGGACTCCTCCTGCCCTCCCCAGGACAGCACTGAAACGACTAAGTCTGCCTGTTATTCCAGTGAATCCAGTCAAATAAATAAGTCAATTCTCTTTAAGTTTGTGGTCTCAACTCCTTGTTGGTTTATTGCAAAATTAAAGGGCACACAGAGTAGAACCATCAATCAGTAACCAGCAGAGGAATAAGCTCTTTGTGGAATGTACTGAGAAGCAGGAAAGAAGAAGGAAAAAAAATGAAAAGAAACCTCATGAAATGGTCATTTGTTAGGAGAACAGAGGGGGGAAAATCCACATTTCACATGCAGCATCATTTAGGAAAAGTCTTATTAAAGGTTTCCTATCTCACCAGGAGAGCAAGCACAGGAACGCAAAGAAAAATCCCTCAAAATGATCTGCCATTTATTAGTGCTGGTTTCTTGTGGCCTTTGCTGTGTTCCGTAGACACAGCCAGAGATCATGGGGCCAAGCGGCTGGAACAGTGACTCAGCAGGCTCAGGACCACAGCAAGGAGACGAGATACCACTACTGCTTATTACAAGGCAAACATAACTGGCTCCCTCCATTCTTCATCCCAACCTGATGGTCCCGTAGCACCCTGTTATTAAAGCACCTCCTTAGTACCGTGCGTTATTTGGAATGTATAATAAATGTGATTTGATGAGGGTAAAAACTGAAGAGCAATAGTCTAGAGGAAAAAAACTAACACTCATTGAGTACCCACTGGGTGCCAAACAGTACGCTCAATGCCTTATTTACGTAACTTGGCTCATCGCAATCCTATGCGGTAGGTGACATTGTTCTTGGGCTCTCAGGATAAATGTATTTGGTAATTTGCATAGCTTGCAGCAAGCAGCCACATCTATGTGACTCCAAAATCACTTCTTTCAACCAGACTCACCATGTTTAATCATGGCACCAGGAAAACTACTGTGGATTTTAAATCCTGCTAGAAGAAATGAAATAGGTAGAACTGGAAATAGCAGAATGGAAACTCACCAGTCCTATGTCTACCCTGCACATTTTCTACTTCAAATAACTTCCTTGTCTGGACAACTGATATTCTTGACCATTTCACAAGAGAGGAAAGCAAGGTGCCAGGGGGTGGAGGGAATTGCTCACGCTAGTAAACAGAAGAGCCATTAGACCACGACATGGCTCTGATTCTCACCCATGGCAAGATGTGCCTTTTGAAATAACTTGGTAATAGGGAAGAATTCTTTATGTTGCTTTAGAAAAAATTAAGGGGCTATATACACAAGGCATAAACAAATACAGAATCTCATTCTGAACCTCCTTATCATCTAGTGATAAGGTAGGTATTACATCTCTTTCCACATCAGAGAGGAAAAGTGAGTAGCCTAAAGTTCACAGCATATAAATGGACCCACACCTGGGTCTACTGATTCCAGATCCCATGCTCTTTACACTCCTTGATCCTGAAGGGGAATGCACCTCCTAGAGAGAGGCAGATTGATGGTAAAGGAATAACTTTCATGAGAAAGCTGGGTCTCAATGTCTTTCTGAAACAAGGAGGAACTGCTTGTGAAGTTGTGATGCCCAATGCAATGGGATCTTGGTTTTATTTCCTCTCTCTACAGAGGTGACTATCGATAGTGTCCGAACCTTTATGCTCTCTTTGAAGGTGGTCCTCTGTTACTCATGTGAGGCTCATTTAAGTGCTGGTTATGATTTATTAGAAGTGGCCCCATTCATTAATTCAGCAAAGGAGTTCCTAAGAGAGGACAGTGGAAGCAAGAAGTGAAAGAAAGCTGTATCTGGGACTAGGTAGGTTTGGGGCAAGATTGCAAGGAGTTAAAGAATAAAGTGTATATTTATGGCTTCCCTTCCCAACTCCACCATCTTCTTTCTGCTGTAAACCCCATGGGCTTTGAACACTCAACCTTCCCAACACAGTAGAGTGGAACCCCTCTCAGACGTCCCTTCCCCAGCCAGCACCACCTAGAAGGGTTTTGAAAGCCCAAGATTCCATCCCTGTACCATCCACTACTACTCATAAATCCACACAGTCTTTTCTTCCCTTCTCTCTTTCTAATGAGCTAAATCTTAAATTGTCCTAAGTGACTTTTGCTACAGATCCTTATGCTACTAGGGAGGGCGCCCAGTGACATACCAATTGCTCTAAAGCAGTGACTCTGAAGTGATTGAGGTGGGTGTTGAATCTAGTCTTCCGACTCCAAATTCCATGTTAATTCCTCTACACATTCTTTTCCTCCCTCTTCTGAGATAGAAAATCTGGCTCTACATCTGACTGAGTCCCCAATAGATATTTAAAGCATAGCTGAAATATAAGCTGAATATCTGACAAAATAAAATCACTCAAGTCATTTTATTATTACAATTCAAAATGTTGATAGAATATTTATTAAATACTAACTGGGGTCAAAACAAAGCAAATAGAAGACTGCTATTTTTCTGTTAAAAGGGATAAGTAGTATGAGTATTACTATATAAACTATAATGAAAGGGAGCAAATAATCCTTGTCATAAGGAGGGTGAAGAGAGAGTCTAGAAGATGGGAAAAGATGGCTTCTCACTGGGGTACTCAGGAAAAGTGTCATTTGATCTGGGCCTTGAAAGAAGGGTGCAATTTTGTCATTGAGAGTTATGTGGAAAGTTTTTACAAATGGCAGAAGAGGCCCCAATATTATAAGAATTTGAACTGCAGAGTATTTTAAATTTTTTTTTAAAGATTTTATTTATTTGACAGAGAGAGAGACAGTGAGAGAGGGAACACAAGCAGGGGGAGTGGGAGAGGGAGAGGGAGAAGCAGGCTTCCCACTGAGCAGGGAGCCCGATGCGGG